TTCATTTTATGCAGTTTACTAATGTGAAATAATTTATCAATTTGTGCAGAAGGGACATTATTTTGCTCCACATAATGTGGATTATGGGGTGCTTAGATTCCACACTTTGTGTGATCCTAGCATTCCTAGCCAGATAAAAGAGTTATTGTCTCCAAATGCTTTAAAGCTTTTTAAAAATACTTGTTTTGGTTACTTACTGTCTCTCCTCTCCATTTGCATGCAAAACTAAGTTATTCATCTTTTGATGAAGTATGAACTGTCTAAGTCTAATGAATCATTTTTTTCAGTCCATTTGAAAGGGGGAAAATTGAATTTTTCATTGAGAGAGTTTGGTTTAATTACTGGTTTAAATTGTGTGAATCAGTTTACAGATTATGGATATACTTCTAGTTATGTTAGCAAGTTAATGAATAGCTATTTTCCTAACAAAAAAAGAGTAGAGAAGTAGTATTTGAAAAGCATAGTAATAAATAGATCTTGGGTAAACGATGAGGATGCAGTCAAGTTGTGCATTCTTTATCTTTTGGAATTTTTGTTTGTCCTTATGACAAAGACCATGTGTCTTTTATAGACCACTTTAGGTTCTATTTGGTAGAGTATGGTCAGTGTGAGTCATACCCATGGGGTATTAAATCGTTCAATCAGGTTATGGAATCCGTTAGGCATCGTCTAAATTCCCGTGTACATTCTTATCTCATACGGGGATATTCATTAACCTTGCAAGTGTGGCTTTATGAGTGTTGCTCGACCGTCAGCACGGAGTTTGCTACGAGGTGTTCTGATTCAATACCTTGCATATTAAGATGGTCAGTTACTAAGGGGTAGATTTGGTTAACTGCCTTTGAAGAGAAGATGATCAAGCCTGAGTGGATTAAGGTATTTTTTTCAGTTTTATATGTTGCTACATTTACCTTCATAATATCTACAATTAGTCTACATTTTCTACCTTAGTGGAACTAACTGTTTTTTTCCATCATTCAGTTCACAAGCGTGACTGAATCTGGAGAAGAGATTTGAGTGCTTACTCTGCCAAACAAGATTGAGTATGAAGATGAACAAGGTGCACAATCATCAGAGGTTCCAAATGCTGATTCTCCAACATTGGAACCCAAACATACAGATTGTCAAGAGGACAAGGAATCTGTGGCTAAGAAGCTCAGGAAGCTAGAAAAGGGAATTGAGCAGGTAATATTATAACTACAATATATTTACATATTTGTTACAATTTATCTATATTTCATAACAATTTATGTAGTATACATTATAGTTAAATTGTAGTATAATTCTATAGTCATCCATGTTGGGATTGCACACATTGTAGTTAAATTGTAGTATAACTGTAGCAATTTGTAGACAATTGTGAAAATAATACTGCCTCGTACATAATTAAACTGATTTGTAATTTATTTGAATAAAATTACCAACTAACTATATTTTTAACTTTTAGGTTGATGGAAAGTTAGAGGATTTTAGGAAGGCTGTATTTGAGGAACTCCATGACCTTCGAGTGTTTATAGATGATTCTGTGAAGAGTGTTTTGAATTTGATAAACAGGAGATATGATGTGGATGAGGCAAAGGTAAGAGTTGACATATATTTATATACCAAAACAAATTATGACATATGAAATAATATACTCAAACTAACATAAAATCTTTAGTTTGCTGGTAGTTCAACCAAAAACAATGACCAACAACAAGGAGTGAACAACAAGCAATTTCAGTTCAATATTGGTGAGCAAGTGCATGCAAGCACAAGCAACACATGTATCTACAAATACCTACAAATATATATATACTTAGTATAAAACTTTATAGAGCATAGTTTTATTATTCACATTTTATCTACAACTTCCTACATATATCTACAAATTTCAAGGCAGCATTATCTAGTATTGTTTACCTTTTTTTCATTATAAATTGAAGCTGCAGTTTGTCCAGAATATGTTCCAGCACATGTTGACTTATATTCAGAATTTCAAGAAGTAGCTGAGGTAGAACAAGCAGGTATAATATTATACTGTCATTCAGAATAAATAATTGTTGTTTATACAATTTTACATTCCTGTTAAGTAAGTTATGTTTTATGTAACCGATATTGAAGATATCAATGCACAGTCCCCAATTCACGGAATGACTGTAGCAGCTCAGACAGAACAAGTCATTGAGAAATAGCTAAATGAAGGTGAAAATGCACAGCATGTGGATGAAGTTGTTTCTGAAGGATCAGGCATTGATAAGAAGGGTGTGCCATTGGATGACTTTGAGTTGCCAGACAACTTAACACAATTGGTTAAGTATGGCGAGCCCATACCAGATGAAGCAACCCCTATTCATCCGGGGAGAACCAGGCAACCGAGGAAACATGCACGATCACCTTTCATACCTCTATATAGTTCTGGAGGTAGCAACTCTATTGGACCTAAATTTTTCTACCTCAAGCACCCCTTCACAACTCTTATAGGTGAAAATGTAGATTCTGATGTGTTAGATAAGTTCAACAAGTGGTTATACCACCGTAGTCACAAAGTATCTAAGAGGTATGAATGCTTAATTTGACACTTTCATTTCAGCATTTTAAAGTTTAAATATGTAATTGATTCTGTGATTTTTTTTGATTGGACATTTATTTGTTGTTATAGGAGGAAGGCTTCCTTTTCCATAAAGGATAACCAAATCAACCCTTGGTTAGACCTTGGAGTTGAAAAGGTGGATAAGAAGCACTGGTTTTATTCCCTTGCTCACCCCGGACAAGTCCTCAATGACTCGGTAAGTATCAAAGAATAAATTCACAAGATATATTTTGTGTTCTGTTTTGTAGTATAATTGTAGTTATATTGTAGATATGAAATATATGTGACCATGCCTTTTATTATAAATTGTAGATATAATGTAGACATTTCTTATAAATGTTGCTCTTATTATTTATAGTGTGATTATATTTAGGTTGGACCTTATGTATCATATTTTATGATGAATTGTATGTAAAAATTGTATATTTGGTAATTTGGACAGAATTGGTATATCTGTACTTCATGATTGTAGTTAATTTGTAGTTAAATTATAGAGCAAGTCGAAGACTTATAATATTAACTGTAGTTTGAATGTAGATATTATTGAGACCTTATGGTAGTTGCTGTGTTCCATTTGTTCTGTGTATAACAGCTAAAATGTAGCTATTTGTTAGATTATTTGAATTCTGACTTTGCAGTTTAAAGTGCAGCTGCTTTGTTGATAATTGTAGTTACACTATAGCTTATAGTAGATTTTATTTTATTTTGCAGCACATTGATGTTATTATGTATTACGTGAGAAAAAGAGGCAAATATGGCCCCACCAACAACAACACTAGGTTTACAACAACTTATTGCTTGTTCAAGTCAAAGATTGAACAAATCTATGAGAAGTTCATAAGTTCTCCGCCAGAAAAAAAATATTCGGTTGTTAAACCCGATGATGATGTTGCAGAATATATTCTTGGGTATAGACTTCTTGCTAATGTTGCCTGGAATGAAGTTGACTATGTCATCATGCCTGTGAACATTGTAGAGAATTTCCATTGGTTGTTGGTCGTTTTCGACATAGCGGACAAGCAACTTTATGTGTATGATTCCATGGTGTCTTCACACCATCATAATGCTGTTGAATCATGTATTGATAAGCTTTCAATCATTATCCCTCTGTATTTGTCTTGCACTGGTTTCTACGGAAAGCGTAAAGACATTGACTTCAAGACCACAAAGGCATACATTGAGAAACCAGTTACAGACCCTCTCAACATACAGTGGATGGTTGCGGAGATTCCACAGCAAAAGGAAGGATCACTGTTAAAAAACTATTCTCTCTTTCTATATGTTTAATTATTATTTTTTTTATAATCATTTGTTAAATAATTAAATTTTTTTGTCTTATGCAACGATTGTGGTGTATTTGTGGCTGCTTTTGCGGAGTATGTTAGCCTTGGAGATTTGTCAATCCCTTCAGAAGACCTTTCGGATATCGACCAACACCGTAGACGCTATGGAGCTCTCCTATGGGACTATGCTACAAAGAAGCAAGATGATGGGTCAATCAGTGAAAGTGAGGTTACAGGCAGGCTAGCAAGGAGGAAGGGTTCTCCTGCTTTGAATGAGAAGACTAGAGTCCAGAGAAAGAAGAAATAATGTCATGTTTTCCTAGTTTAGTTGATGCCAATTTGTAGTTGAAGGAGAATACACTACTTTATGAACAAAATTTTTATTTTTTATTGCAGTATACCTTTTTGTTTTGTTATTTTATGTTTCATTATTAGTTGTTCAATTGAATATAAATTGGTTGTTTACAGCACTGTATCTTCATTATATTAAATATGAGTATTTTGATGTTAGAATACAATTTGCCTACAAATAATATAGCCAATATCTATATTTTGGAAACACTCAATGTAGTTATGGTATATAATTTTGTAGTTGTATATGTTCATAATTTTTACGAAATACCTTCAAGTTCTAGGTAATATCTGTATATAACTGTCAGTTGAAGTTAAATTACACAACAAACAGAAGAAATAAATACTCCAATCCTAGAAATATATTATCCACAATTTATCTACAAATCATCTACAAATTATTACCAAGACTACAATTTAACTACATTTAACCTATATTTTACCTACAATCTGGAAACACTTTACATTAAAGTTACTTTTTTGATATCAGTTGTATTGTAGATAATAAATATTAAAATTTAATTACACTATATCAAAGACAAATTTAGATGTCTGACACAATACATAAAAGCATATTAAACACACATAAACAAATTGTAGTCTACTTCATAAATGATCTTTAAAAACTTAAATGATTACACAAAAAATCTGCTAACTTTAAATCACTAACAGTTAGTTTGAATAACTATTTTAACTACATGATATTCATTTCTTTTTGGGCGCATTCTTGCGAGATCTTTTGTTATGCCCTTCACCTCCACAATTTCCATATGAGACCTTGTATTTCTTTGACTTTATTTCATCATATGTTTTATATCTTTCCTTTGAGGTCTCCCTGGCTGCCTTTTATCTCCCGTCGGTGGATTTACTACCTCATCCAAAATATGTTGCGGCACATTCCATTTGCTTTCATCAGGAAGAGGATTTACTGGTATTTCATACGTACGCAAAAGGCTCTCCCTTGTGTAATATGGAGAGCAATAGTTTTCATATGTTTCATTCCTGTGCCTTAATGCTGCCAAAGCATGCGCACATGGAAGTTCTTCAAGTTGGAATTGGCCACAGCTACATTTCTTGTTTTCTAGACACACAATGTACCCCTTCACACCATCTAACACAGTATGTATATGATCTGTTGAAGCCCTCACCTACAATTGCAGAACAAACAGAAAAAATATTATCTCAATCATAAAAATAGATTATATACAACCTATCTACAAATCATCTACAAAGATTCTACACCTTATCTACAACCTATAATTATCTACAATTTTACTACAATTTATCTACAATCTGGAAACACTGCATATTAAGTAATTTATTTTTTCTGCACCAAATAAACAGATCTTACCCTAAGCTTCTGAGATAATGTTCTGTTGTTCTCTAATTCTTTGTTGAATTTGGACCCAAGAAATGTAAAAGTACCTTTTGCCTTCAATAACTTCTCGTTGGTCCAACATTCTAGCAGTGTCCGCATATACTCTAAAAGGTCAAATATCGGCAGCTCTCTTGCATCTTTTGTTACAGCGTTCAACAACTCTGCAATATTTGATGTCATTGTCCACGTTCTATTCATAGTTGCATGTACTCTTGACCATCTATGATAGCCAATATCATATAGGTAAGATTTCACACGCGGGTCTACCTCTTCAACCTTCGACATCCTTTCATTAAATTCATCAGAGTGTATGACCGTGCTGTAGCAAAGTACAATTCATGTAATTGTAGATGACCCTTCTTGAATTTTGACCTTATATTTGTCCAAATATGCCACATGCAATAGTAGTGTGTCATGCCCGGATAGACAATTGATGTTGCCCTCAGTATACTCTCATTCCTATCTGAAACAACACACATTGAAGTTCTTTCACCATATGCCTGCTTGAATTGCTCAAAGAACCACTTCCAAGATTCGTCATTTTCAGAATCAACCACAGCATATGCCAAGGACAATATTGTACCTACATTATTAATTCATAAAATATTAATTGGCAGCTTTGAAAATGTATATAAAAATATAAGTAAATAACAACTACAATATATCTTCATAATATAGACAATTTATCTACATTTCATGTAATATCTACAAAATAACTACAATGTATCTACATTTTATAGACTGCCTACAAAATAACTACAAAAGCTTTACACTTTTTACCTGCTGCATCCATGGTGCTTGCTGTCAGCATAATCCCCCTGTAGGCTGACTTTAAAAATGTCTCATCAACTACTACTACAGGCCTACAATGATGTCAACCACTTATTGATGTACAAAGAGCAACAAATGCGTATAAGAAGCATTCATCTGCTGTCTTCTTCAATTTAACAACCGAACCAGGATAAGTCTCCTCAAGAATATAAAACTATTTGGGTAATTTGCTGTAGGAGTCAGCCGGATTCCCTCTCAAAAACTGTAAAGCCTTTTCTTTTGCTCTCCATGCTTGCATGTAGCTTAGATTCACTCCGTGTTCGGATAACATGTCAGTTTGTATGTCCTGTGGTGTGTAAACAGTCTTAGGATCACAATACTTTCGAATGACCATGCTACCAACTACAACTACAGTACGTTTGCGCTGTATGAATGTTTCGTCCATTAAGGAGCATGTGTGTTGTCGGTTGAAACTCCTTATCTTGAACATTGCAGAATCATTAATTGACGTTGCCTTGAAGTGCCATTTACAGTTTTCACCAACGCATACAAGCCAGCAGCTACAAAAAACATACAATATTTAATACAGATTATAAATGTAGATGCAACAAAAGGACTGTTTTAACATAAAGTAACATAAAACTACAATTTAACTACAATGTAACTACAATTTATCTACAATGTTTAAAAAACACATATCTTCAGTAAAACACTGCTTTTAATGATATTTTCACCACAAATATCTCTATACCTTCTATGACTAGATCTTTTAACTCTGAACTGGAACTTGTGCATCACAGAAAAGTGCATCATTGCAGCAACTACGGTTTGCTTGTCCCGATACACTTGTCCTTCTTCAATAGCAGTTTGCGTAGATTCTGTTATTATTTCACTTTGATATTCCTCTATAGCTGGAGAGGATGGCATATCAAGTAACTTTAGGGATCCAGACGAACCTGCATCAAAATAAAGATAAACAGTATCATTATAATTTTGTAGAATCTTTGTAGATAATTTGTAGATATAGTCAAAATTTTGTAGTCATCCATTTTATGATGTCAAACATTGTAGTTAAATTGTACTATAACTGTTGCAATTTGTAGGAATTTGTGAAAACAATACTGCTTCGTGCATAATTAAACTGATTTGTATTTTATTTGACTAGATTTTGTTCTAAACATAGATTGTAGTTTTATTTGAAGACAACATTTTGAAATCAACAATTTCTAATCATATATTGTAGTTTATTTTGTCGTATAAATGTAGTAACTTTGTAGATAATTTTTAAAATAATATTGCTTTATTCTTTCATTAAATTGATTTGTAGTTTAATTGTAGATAAATGTAGTAATTTTGTAGATAATACCGTAAAACCATAATTCTATGCAATTTCGAACTATACAAACTTGCACTTGTGTTATCGTTGGTGATTGCTAATTCCATATTGAAATCTCGTACACTTATACATAACGAATATGAACCTAAGTTTTTATTCTCCTTTTTGGTCTCCATATACACACGAACCCCCATATCATTCCTAATCTCCATTGGGGGACAATTGTCGTTCACCATGTATTTGATTTCTACAATTTTTTCTGAAGTATCAATCGGTAGTTGTTCTGCAATTGTAGAAATCAGAATACTGTAGCTTGCATTCTCATCTACCACAATGGCATCAACTTCAAAATCTCTAAATCTACCATAGTTATCCCAATTCCCATTCAGTTGTAGCATGATTGCGATTTTGGACATGATTGCGTGTTGTTGCTGATGTATTATTCTAAATTTTTTCGTTTTTTTTTTATTTCTAGATTGAGAAAAAAAAAGATGAAGAACAGATATACGATTGCCAATTTGATTTCTGAAAACGACGAAGAACAAAATATTCTACAATTTGAATTCAGTTTGTTGAATCTCGAAGATATGTTCTGCAATTGTTGCGAAATCTCTTTTTCGTTTCAAAACTTGAATTTAATGTAGAATCAATCAATCCCAAGATTCTTTGCTGATTTTTCGCACGTTATTAGGGGAAGATTCTACTCTATTAATTCCTAATAAACGAATGGTACAGAAATTGTAGGAAAAATATGGATTAGGCGGGTAATTTAGATACTATGCACATATTTGGTAATAAAGTTTCATATATGATATAGGAAGGAAAAAATTCCTAAATTTTTTTAACAAAGCGGGTTCATTATATTTGAACCTTCTCAAACCTACGTGGGTCCGCCCTGCCCTGAGCCAACAAGTTTGCAAATAAATGGGGAAAGAGACTGGAGGCTCCATTTGCGTGTACATTCATACTCTTGGTAAAACAAACTTGCAATGATGACTTTTATTGAGCGTCAGGATTCGTGGCGAAATCAGGAATTTTTTTAAGGGTGTTCAAACTGAAAAGAAGTAAAAATATTCTCCGACAAAAAATGTTTAATATATGTCATATAATTATAAAGCCTAATATTTTACCTATATACTCAGTGTTATTTTCCGACGAACGTTTCGCCCATGGCCAGGACTGAGAAACGTATTACACGACTTTAAAATAACACAAGCAAGAGAACATGCTTATAATGAGTTAACCTTTATACGAATAATATTTTTTCTACACTATCAGAAAAGATATACTCCCTCCGTTTTAATTTATGTGAACTTATTTCTTTTTTTGTTCGTGCCAAAAAGAATGACTCATTTCCTTATTTGGAAACAATTTACCTTTACACAACAAGGAATGCTGACTCATTTCCTTATTTGGATACATATTTATCGGGATATGAGTTTGAAAAAATAATTACCAACAGGAACGGAGCTGGAAGTCCAAGTACGGATTCGGCTGAATCCATTAACTTTTGTCCGAATTCTATATGTATTAAGAAATTCACTTAAAATATGTACAAAAATAAAATTCAGAACTCACTTACTAACACCTTATGTCCCCATCCTAAAATTAAGAACCCATAAAATTCAAATCCCGACTCTAGCTCCCATTACCAAAGCTGTGAAATAGTAAAATAGTCGCAGCAAGAAATCCATGAATTTAGGCCAAGGCAAGGCTATACTGATATCAGTAGCAGCTTGTTTTGTACATCTTGAAGACGATACCGTGAAGTCACCTCCCATCGAAGTTTCAGCACCTTGCTTTCTGGGGCACAGAAAGAAGTTTCTGGACCCTAACGCCGTTAGCTCCTCCGCTCTGTCCAAGCCTGGACCCACCAATCATTTATAACAAAAAATAATTAATCAATTCGCTATCCAATGAAATGGTAGTAATTTAAACGGCTCGATTTAACGGTAAATATTCAAGAAAGCATAATCGAACGGCGCTTACTTTCTAAGCTGAACTGTGAGAAGTGAAGATCGTAATCGGAGGAGTTCGCGGAGCAAAGTGCTGGACGTCTTCCTTCCTTCGTGTATTGCCGTATAACGGCGGCGATAAGATCATGTACGGTTGATTCCGGTGATATCAGCACATGAATGGGACCTAAACTCCTCTGAATCGTCACATTCAACAGTAACTTCGTCAATTTCAGCCTAACCTGCACCTCCGCTGAGTTACCGGCAGAAGATTCTCTGCCGGAGAACAAGTTCGGAGCAGTCCTAGGCCTTCGCGACATCTCGGAAGTGCTCCCTGAGATATCTCCGTGCAAGGACATGGATTTCTCCGGCAACTTCCCCTTCCGAATCTTCTCCTCGATAACCCTCCTGTGACTTCTCGGAGACGGCATCATAGTATAAGAGTATCTCTCTATTTGTATGTATATGTGTATAGGTTTACAGATGATTTATCAGTTGTTACATGAAGCGGCGGCGGCGGAAAATATGTGACGGCGGAAGCTGAGTGGAGGAATGGAGAGGTGGCTCTCAGTTTCCCGGCGAGTGGCGTTGACCATAAGAAGAGTGGTAAAATCGTAAGTAAGAAAGCAACATAGGGCAAAAAATACAGCTCATCAATAAGCGGGAAGAAGGAATAGGCCTATTTATTTGGGGAAATGAATATAAGGCATTATTGGGTCAACCTATAACCGAGTAATGTCGGTCGACCTAGGCAACAAAGTCTTCTTTTGACAGCGAAAATGCTCGTGGGTAACTACCGGTTACCTGTTGATATAACTGTAAACGGTAAGGCCACGATAATTTATAATGTACGCGGAGAAGTTGGGAGCGGAATAAAGTTTATTCGTTGCGGTTAGGGAGTGACACGTGCGAGATACTTCAGTGGTTCGACATATTATGCGGCTGTTAGTATTGAAATAGACGTCCTGGGCCTTTCACACATTTGGTGACCCGATTTGCAGCATTAATAAGCAAAGAAAGCAAACTTTCTCCTTAATTTTCACAGAATATGAGTAATTAAGGATAATTTAAGAGAATTTTTCATAAAACACTATCTTTTAGTAGTAATTAGCCATCTATAGATACTATATGTTATATTACGGATTATAGATACTTTTTTTGTGGTTATAAGATGTATTTGGTGTATTTAAGCTATTGTATTCATGAATACAGTAGCAAAAATAGGCGTGAATCAGGGAAGTCCAACTAATCAGTTGTTGTATTCGTGTGTATTCGACTGTATTCATGGAGTAAAATGTGGGATTACAGCTGGACAGATTATTGTATTCGACTGTATTCACGGCGTGAAATAAGGGATTACACTATTTTTAAAACGGAAAGTGAATCAATTAACATAATAGACTCCTAATACAACTCAACAAACTCAATTATAAATCTGAATACATAAATACATCTTAATACATAAATTATATTAATTAAAAAAACAAATAAAGACATTCATGGAATATAGCGAGACAATGAATATAATAAAATACATGTAATACAAGTGAGATATATTAAAATACAATGAAAAAAAGACAATGAATACAATGAAATGCATAGAATACAATGAGATACATTGAAATACAATGAAAAAAAGGTAACAGACTCTTCAACTTGCTCAGTCCCAAACTCCGTCGTCTTTATTCAAGAATAACCCTAATGTCGTCTCATCGATAGCAGATTTCGAACCTACATTGTCAGCCCCAATTTACCCTAAAAAATCCTTTCAAAAATATCTGACAGTGAGTAATGGTCATGCTTTTTGCAAAAATTACTCCTGTATTTGATGTAATTACTCCAGCAACCCTTTTCTGTATTTGTGTGATCTTCGAGTAATTACATCAAAGATTACTCCTTGATGTAATCTAATGGTCATGCTTTTTGAAAAAAATGATCCACAATGGCTCCTTTTGAATGACAGCGTGACAAAGGGTTCCCGGCTTAGGGTTGCTGCTGTCGTCGGTGACGACATAGAATTGGCCGGCTTTGCCGCCGGTGGTCCCTTTACCAAAGCCCATTGCACAATCTGCTAAATTTTCATTGTCATCCCCAATTTACCTTTCAATAGCAGATTTTGAACCTTATCTTTGTCTCTAGGGCTTGATTTCGACATTAATTCAGAGCCCCCGACCACTGACAATGAAAATTTTGTTCGACAATGGAGATGAATCAGTGGAGAATCATGGTTGTATTCATGGAAAAAGACAGACGTTGAGAGAGAGAGGGTGAAAAAAATCTGAAAGAATGAAAGAAAAATAATACAAAGCGTATTTTATGGCTTAAGGGTAGGAGGTGACCATAAATAGATATTTGGCTATAAAAATCAAAAGGTATTTGTGGAATATAATTTTTTAAAAGGGTATTTATTTAAAATAAATAATGTATCAACTTTTGCTATAGGAGGTAAAAATTCCATAATTTAATAGGAAAAACTTCATATTAAAACAACTGGGCTGCCTCATTTTCAAATTTATAGCCCATATTTCAATTTACAATTGAGTAGCCCAAAAATAACAGGCCCATATCCGGAAAAAAGGGGCGTTATTTCCGTTTTTTGGGACTCAGAAGCGGGATTTTCTCTCATTCTTTCCATTCTTCTTCCCCAAATCTACAAAAACGCGATCTTGCGGCCAATGCAACTCCAAAAACCCTAGAAATTCTTCTTCATCTCGAATTAACAGCAAATCAAACACAAAAAGTGATTTTTTTTGCTGCAAATCAACGCAATTTTCATTTTTGCTGCAATTTTGATTTCAACTTTTTGTTCGATGGAGCTTTTTCCAGTTTACGTTCTTCATAGTGGTGAATGGAAAGAAAACAAGTTTATCAATTTCGTTAGCGATTGTGTAATAATCGAGTCGACATTCAGCTACAACAGTTTAGTTGCAACTATTTTGGAACAGATTAGGATCGATAGTGAGTTAAACACAATAGAGATTAACTTTCTCCCAAATGATGGTTTGCCACCGATCCTGATTTACAACAACACGGGTGTTAAGGTGTATATCGAATTAAAGAAGAAAAACTTGAATTTCACTAAATACCCCTTGTTTGTGATAGTGAACGAGATTTATGATAATTGTTTGGTTGCTACAAGTTCCAGTTGTTTGGCTGCTACAAGTTCCAATTCTATAGATATATCCACAATTGATAGCACTGATATTATGCCTGATATCGAATACATTAAAAATAGGAAATTTAGTAAAAACACGGGTATAATAGATAATATGTTAAACGAATTTGTTGAGGAGGATCAAGTTTATAAAGATAAAGAGATAGTTATGAATGTGATGAAGAACTTGGTTGTACGCGAGAGGTTCCAATTCAAGGTGAAGAGATCAAGCGCAACAAGTATGACAATAGTTGTATATTCTGTTATATATATGTATAAATATGTATAAAGTAGTATATAGGTATTA